TAGGTGTGCTTGCTGCTAGAAGAGTGCCACTGTTTCTAAGCCCTCTCAACCCACAGAGCAGGAAATAATGTGAGTATACTAACCTGTGAATACATACATATTTAAAAATACATCTATACGTAACCATTAGTATCAACATTAAGCCAAAAATAAGTTCGTGCTGATATATCCAACCCTGTCACCACATGGACCATTCTAGCCTCTCCTCTTTTCCTACCTACGAACTTACACTTCCAACAGTAAGAAACTGGCTTCTACCATCTGCCATCTGTTTACTTAATGTTCAATTTCAGCGCACACACATAGCAGTATCAGAACTGTTGATTCATTCCACCGAGGGAAATAATCCTGTGGACTACAGTACATTGCCTATGTGTAGTTCGTGATTCCTTAATCTTAGAGATTACTCATTTTCAAATGCATTTAGGTCAGCAAATTTTACCTCAACCCCCTTCCGTGAGGTTTTGTATGTTTTTGAAATACAGTTAGATTCTTTAGTGACAGTCTGTATTCTATCTTGGGATCTCCATCCTGAGTGATTTTTAAAAATTTACATATGTCAGTGTTTACTCTTTGCTTGTAAAGTTTTATGCATTGTGAAGAATGCACAAGTGTCATTTATCCACTATTACAGTATCATATGAAATAGTTTCAGTATTCTAAAAAACCATCTTTACTTCACATGTTCAACCTGCTTTCCCTCGGAGAACCTGACAGCCATAGATATTTTTACTATCTTTATAGTTTTGCCTTTCCAGAAATGTCAAATAATTAGAACCATATAGTACGTGGCGTTTTCAGATTGGTTTCTTTCACTTAGAAATATGTATTTATTTTGTTTTTGAAATATTTTTAGTTGTAGATGGACACAATAAGTAACCCTCCCTCCCTCCCTTCCTCCCTCCCTCCCTCCCTTCCTTCCTTCCTTCCTTCCTTCCTTCCTTCCTTCCTTCCTTCCTTCCCTTCTTCCTTCCTTGTGTGGTGCTGAGCATTGAACCCAGTGCCTCATATATTCTAGGCAAAATCTCTACCACTGAGCCAAAACCCCAACCCAGAATTCTGAATTTATGCTTTTAAATGTCATCCAAGTCTTTTCATGGCTTGATAGTTCAATTTTTAAATTTCAGAATAATTTTCCATTATACAATATGCAACAATATAGTCATCCATTCACCTGCTGCAGGACATCTTGGTTGCTTCCAGTTTTGGGTGACTATGAATTAAGATGCTATAAATATCCATGTGCAGTTAAAAGAAATCCAAGAAGATAAATTCATTTTTATTTATTTTTCATTAATTTAAATCCTGGAGAGTGCAGTTATCACACAGATTTTGTGTCCAGTGATCTTAGCACAAAGGTTGCTTTGTGATTTGGCACAAATCATGCCACTCTTTTCATGGATACAAGCTAACCTTTCTCCAGATTACTCTAGTTTTGTATGGTTTGCTTCCAGGAGGCACTGTGCCACTGTTTCATTCATTGTATACATAACCACATCTCCTACTCAAATAAGAATGCAGTTTCATCTTGGGAATAAACACCTTCAATTTTAAGAAGAGTTGTGTGCTTCTTTTGGTTCCAGAGACCTTGTTTATCACCAGTAAAAATGACCTTGTACTACAGCCTTCCAGAAACATTTGCCTTTTAGAAGTCCTACTTCTAGCAAGCAACCACAGGTTCCAAAATGGAAGAAAGAGCCATGGGTATGGACACAAGTATTTAAGTCAGAGCAAAGTTTTCAAATATCTCCCCTTGCATCTTACTGTATGCATTTAAAAGTATTTGGCCCTTTCACTATTTGGCTTAGAAATTTCTTCTATCAGATATCCTAGTTCCTTGCTCTTTAATTCTGCCTTTCATGAAGCCCTTGGACATGGACACAATTCAGTCAAGTTCTTTGCCACCTTGTAATAAAAAGTGGTCTTTACCCCAGTTGCCAATACTCTGTTCCTCATTTCTACCAGAGGCACAATCAGAATGGACTTCACTGTCCATATTTCTAATAACATTCTGGTTGTGACGACTTAAGCACTCCTTAAGAAGATTTGGATCCTCCCACCCTCCAACTCAATTTTCTTCTGAGCCTTCATCACTCCTGCCTTTACCAATTAATTCAGGGCAATCTAGGCTTTTTCTAGTCTATGTTCTGAGACGCATTAAGTCTCTACTTATTACCCAGTTCTAAAGCTACTTCCACATTTTCAAATATTTGTTATAGCAACAGCCCCACTTCTCAATACCCATTTTCTTCCCTTAGTCTGTTTTGTGCTTAGGCATCTTAGGAATGCCCAAGATTGGATGATTTATAAAGAACAGATTTATTTCTTACAGCTCTGAAGGTTAGGAATTCCAGAATCAAGGAGCTACATCTAGTGAGGACTTTCTTGCTGCATCATCCTCTGGTAAAAAGTGGATAGGTAAAAGAGTGTACACCCATGAGAAGTCAAACTCACAGCTTCATGTTCTTTTATAATTGGCATTAATCTATTCATGAGGGTGGAGCCCTTGTGACCTAAAAAACTCCCATTAGACCCCAACTTCCAACCTGTTGCACTGGGGATTAAGTTTCCAACACATGAACTTTGGGGGGCACATTAAAACCCAGCAGGTGTTGGTTCTGGACTGTCATTAGTTTTTGTAAACCACTTGTGAATTGAATACCAGATTGTAGACTTCATGCCAGGTAATAGAACTCTAGAGTTGCTGGGCTCTTTTTCCTTTTTAAATTTTTTTTTAATTTTTGGTGTACTTCAATTATACATAATATGTGGTTTCATTGTGGCATATTTGCACATATATAAACAACACAATTTAATCAATTTTATTCCCAAACGCAACCTCCCCCTTTCCATTCTCCTTCCCCCTTTTCTCCTTCCTCTATGATACTGGCCACCCTTCTAATTTCATGGCACCTCCTCCCCCCATTTTCCCCCTCTAGCTTACACCTAAGAGGATAAATATAAAATATTTTTCTCTCTGAATCTAATTTAATTTGCTCAAAATTATGGTTTCCAGTTCTATCTATTTTCCTGCAAAGGACATAATTTCGTTCTTCTTTATTTCTGAATAAAACCCCCAGAGTGGGTAAATTTTGTGGCCCTAGTTCTTGGTGTATGTTTGGACAGCTCATAAATGTAAATAACAGTACTATGCTTTCAGGTAGAGTGTGCACAAGGAGATACAGGTAGAACTGCCATTCTCTATATTTACCATCTCTTGTCTATGATTTTGTTGTATGTGACTGGCGCCCCCTAGTGAATAAGGAATTTAGACTGGTCCCTACTGTAGAAGAGAGGCCAAGTAAAACTGGTTTAACAATTTTACATCGCATTAAATAAGATGAAGAGGTTTTGTTTGTGTGAATGGCCATGAGGGTAGGAATCTGTTCTCCCTAAAAAACATGCAGTATTCTACAATATAGAAAGTTCAAACTATCCTGTACTTTGTTAAATCATCAAATTAAATGAGTCAATCTTTACTCTATAAATGGAGAAACTTGACTAGAATTTTTCTATAGCTACTAGAATCAGTCACATAACTTAACTAATCAGTCACAAAACTATATATATTTGACCAATTAATAAATTACATCTTGGATGATTTGGTGAATTTCAAGAATAAAACATTTAAAGAAGACTATGGTTGCTTGAGTTATACAATAAATCAATTACTTTTAATTACCTTATCTCCCTAAAGTTCCTGCCACTTAATCCCCATTATGCTCTGAAAGAAGTGTAAGTTATAATATGTCGTTATCGATATTTTGATACTTAAAGCACAGGATTAGGGGCTCATCAGGTAACCAAAAAGAACTGTTATCCTTTAGGATGCTTCTAATATGAAATAAAGATGAAAAATATATAACCGGGTCAACTGGGAAATAAATAAAATAAATGTGATAAAAGCTACTATTCACATTATTTTAACAATGTCAGAAGGCTGAAGAAATCACAGTTGACTCAGTGTCCTTTAAACTGACACATCCTAAATCAACAAGCAGAGAAAAGGTTAAACAAAATGTAGGTGACACATTTAAATATCAAGCAGATGAGTTGGTTGTTGCATGATTCTCAAAGATGTTTTTATGTCAGTTACTATCAAATTACAAATTGTAATGTAGTGTATTTTTGCTATGTTTCAGAGGTAGCCTTTTTTATTGACTCCTACTTTCTTAACAAGTTTAAAAAAATAATAATTTGTTTTCCTCCGTTGAATAGATTACCCCGTCTCCTAAGCATTTTCCTTAAGATTCACTTCAGTTCCACCAGATCCCAGAAAACTTCTCTAACCTTAGTCTCTTCTCACTTCTCCCTCTTCTGTGAACTGCTAGTGGCCTAATTTAGCACGAACGTATTACTTTGATCATTTCAGGTACAATAAAAAAGTCTACGGAGCACACGCAAGCATTCATTCAATTGTTTGTTCATTTGCAAATAAGTAGACCATAAAGTCCATCGCTGTAGCATGAAAAACAAATATCCCTTCACGTATTTAGAGGGAAAATTCATGCATTTCCCTTGTCAGGGTGACGAACATGTGCTGGGGAAGGAGAAGGAAACAATAACACAAGTGAAATCGAGGTGAGCGACAGGTACCTCGCCTACCTCATCTTGCTCACAAAACACCCATTTTTTTCCGTCCTCTTTGCCAGGACGCATCCGGGAAGGATACGAGGTCACCCGTGGAAAGGCGACATACTCCTCCGCAGGAGCCTGATGCCCTCGAGGTAGGCGGGGGAGGAGGATGGAGACACTGGGGGGTGGGGGGGGTGCAACAGAAAGCAGGACCCAGGTGTCTCGCTCTGGAGGGCAAGGGAAAAGGAGGGGGGCGAGGCAGAAGGACTGCGCGCGCCTGCGCGAGCGTGACACTCGCCACCCGCCGACCGCAGCACCCCTGCGCAATTGACTCCCAGAGCGCGGGCGGGAGGAGGGGCGCTCCAGCCCCCCGCCCCCGCGCGCGGCCACGTGACGCCAGCGGAGGAGATTGGAGCTGCGGCGACGCGAGGCAGCAGAGTGGTGCAGCACCAGCGCTCGCGGCGGGACCTCCTCCTCCTCCTCCTCCTCCTCTTGGGAACCTTGACGACACCTTCTGCTGTGCCCAGCTCATTGACTCCGCTGTCGCCGGTCCCTACCGCAGCGGCGCCGGGAGGAGGAGGAGAGACGCAGCTGGGCCCCGCCGTTAGAAGGGTCCCCAGCGCCGCTCGCCCCCTCGGCCTTAGCCTCCGAGGTCAATCCTTTAGCGGGGTCTCCGCTTTTCTCTTGCCGTCTCCAGCTCCCTCTTATCGCCTCGATGGGGCTTCTGGACTCGGAGCCAGGTAGTGTCCTGAACGTGGTGTCCACGGCGCTCAACGACACCGTGGAGTTCTACCGCTGGACCTGGTCCATCGCAGGTAAAAGCACTGACTTCTCCATCTTCCCTTGGTCTTGCGGGCCGCTGCCTGTCTTGGCTCCTCCCTCTGAGCCGCCAGCCCAGATCTCAGAGCCGGGTCCCTGTTCCTGTAACCCCCACTACCCTGTGGCTGTTAGGGGTGCCCCAGATCAGCGCAGGTGCAGGGGCGCGGGCACTATGGTTGTGCATTGGTTAATCTGATCCGAACGTTAAGGCCTCCCCCACCCCCCTAACCCTCCCAGACGCTCGCTGGATTTTCTTCAGAGCTTCCACCATCTCTCATCAGCTCCTCGGATGCGGGAGCTGACATTAGATGGAGCCTGTGCGTCCAAGAGCTCCTCGCAGGAACCGCCCCACCCTACACTCCCAAATCTCTCAAGCTCATCTCACAGTTCTGCCCTATACACAGCATTGTTTTGACCTTTAGTAATATTCGTGTGGAGAGAGGGCTGGAGAGGAAGGAGGGCTCCAACTGTAGCTCTTCTGTACTTCAGCCCTCCTGGTTGCTTTGACAACCCCTTGCAGATATTCTCTTCTATCCAGCTCATCCATTTATAGTATAATTTAGACTTAAAAGTAAAATAGCATTATTGGACTCTTTGAAGAGTGTTTCTGAGGCTTTTTCAATAGCAAATCTATCTGAAATGATTGTCTAGAATGGCTTTGCGCACTGCAGTGTTGTCAGGGGGAGGGGGAGGCCGAAACACCGGGAAGGAAATGAGTCTTTAGGAAAGGGGTCTCCACGGCAGCACCTAGAGGTTGTCCCAGACACCTACATACACACGGTTTTCTTAGCAAACTTCCTTTAGCTGGTTAGCTTATTTGACAGAAGTGTCATTTGGTTAATTTCTGCTTTCCTAGCAGAAGCAACTGTGATATTAGGCATTTTTCCATTTCACTGTTTCTTCATTTGCTTTGTTGCTTTTGGTATTAGAGCATTGACTTCTTTAGAAAAGTGTTTTTTTCAGATCTCACTGGAAAAGTGAGCCATTTGGTAAGCTATTGCAACTATAAATGGTTAAAAGGCAGGTTTTAATGGAGCGTTTCTTCTTGAAGTCTTTCTTCAATGTATTATCACATTGACCTTATGTTGTACCTGCAAAAACTGGGGAGGCAGACCCTTTTCTTCATCTATGTGATTTAGCTTCTTTTAACATGGCATCAAGGCTTCCCATTACACAGTTGAATATCAGACAAGCTCTTGGCAGGTAATTGTGCTTTGCATATTTGGAGTTAGACATTGTCGAGTTTCTCCGATGTCCTTACAGCCAGACCACACTTAAGAGTTCTCATTCCCTTCCTATCCTGGAGCTTTCTCATCTCCTGAGTCTCAGAAATAAAAATTGGGAACAAAGATAGGATACAGCTTTCTGTGATGGTTAATTCCTTTCTGTACTCATGGAAAGAAAGAGACCATGAGTGGAACAGGAAGTTTAGTGTACTCACCTGCTGAAAGCTTGCCACTGGGCTTTGGAGGGCATGTAGAATAATATAATATGGTGCACCAAAAGTGAGAAGTGGTAGCCACTGGAACACAGTGGGAGGTCAAAGGGAAGATATTTGTCAGTGCTCTTGACTATCTACTTACGAAACCTGAGACTGCTTCCTGGCCTTCTGTAATGAGCTACCTTGTGTAGGCATAGGTATTTTTTAACCAACAGAGAGGCTTAGTGGCTACAGTCTGTTCTACCTTGCTGCTGTGTATCAAGGAGCATTTTTTCAGGTTTAGGCAGAACATATGTCAAGTCCTTGGAGCCCCTGATCTCCCACTCCCCTCCTTTCTCTGCTCTTGGTGTGCCTTTTGTGGGACCCCATCAGTGTTTTGATACGAAGGGCATTTCTTTTTGGCAAAATTTCATGAAAATATGGGTAAGGGGGCTTCGAAATAGAAAAGGAGGCTTCTTAGATGAGGTTGAAGAAAAGTTGGTGAGTCAGATGTTTGGAAAGAGGGAAATAAAAATGGGCGAGAAAGATGGTCTTGAGAAATAGTGATGAGTGTGATGAAAGGATGCACGTTATTCAGGAGGAGCAAGAAATGAGCAGGCCCCTGCCCTGGAGCGCCTCCTTCCTGACCGTGATTATGTGCTTCTTTCCCTTTTATTACCTCATTAAATGTCTCTCCATTGAGGTTTCTACCAAAGCTCAAATAAACTTATCTACTTTGCATTATCATAACAGGAATAGTTACAGATTTATGGAGTACATTTGATGGTCCAAGAGATTTTTGCCCTAGGGCAGTTTCTGGAAAAATCTCATTTTCAGCTTTTATATCAAATATTGCTATTTAATAAAGCATATCAAAAGCAACATATAGAAACTGGGCGTTTCAAAGGCATATATTTAGCAATACATGTGGTTGTTAACATGTTAACACTGAAAATGTTACTTTTAGTATAGCATTAACATTTTATACATTGTGAGTTGAAACTTTGAAAGAACTATTTTAGAAAACAATAAAAATAATTTTTAATTTCCTATATTATATGTTTAGATACTAGGATAAGGAAGTTAATGTTGGTTTACATTAGAAAAAAAGTGTAGACTGGTATGGGACTTTGTATCAATTGATGGTATTGGAGAATGTATTCTCATGACATTTTGTTTGTTTTTTTCTTCTATTCCTTTACTTTTATGAGTTCATTAAAATGATAGGACTGGTATCCTAGGCTCAAAGGGTATATCTAACTAAGGAAAGTTATACATAAATTTTAATAAGTGAGGAATTTAAATATTTCCCATTATACAAATACTCAAAATTTTCATATTATTCATTACTGTTCATTAAATAAGTTGTTACTACATTCTTTTAATAAATGCTTATTAATAATTTTATGTGTACCCAACATTTAGCATATGAATATCTTAAAAAGTTAGTAGGGTGCTTGGGATATAGCTCAGTTGGTAGAGTGCTTGTCTTGTATGCATAAGGCCCTGTGCTTGATCCCCAGCACCACACACACACACACAAAAGTTAGTAGATGCTTTCAGTAAAACCACATGTCTCCTGAGCCACTACATTTCTTTCTGACCACATGGTTATAGAGAGGAATCATTTGTGCATAGGGTACAGGTGCACGTGTGTGTTGGGGGTTGTTGTCACTACTCCTCTGTTCAGGAGTAGTGACTTACAACACCCTACAGAAAATGTTTATCTACTTGGTGGTTGAAGTTGGACTATAAAAGGCCAGAGTGGCTGGTTCTTGAATTCACTTTGGAAGGATTAGAAGGGAGAAGGGTGAGTGGTACAGAAGGAGAGAGGACTCTCATAAGATGATGACAAAACTTGGAACCCAGGTTTATATTATCATTCATTCTTTCCATAGGTGCTTGCTATGTGCAGGCACAGTTCTAGATTCTGGAGAGAGGTGGGGAACACTTGTCATTGTATGTCGCAGCATACAGTCATTCTGGGTCACTGTCTGGTTCACCTTTCCTAGATATCATTGTCTGACAGCCATGTGATCTGACAGAGTAAGGCCTAGCTGGGCCTGAAGAAGGTCAATATTGTCCTACTCTACCCCTCTCATCTCTGCTTATTCACCACCACCTCAGTCTTGAGTTGTGGAAACAATAGACAGCCCTGTTTTTAGAATGTTTATCAGTTTATCAGTTATCCCACAGATTCCTTACCCCTGTTCGATTGAAAGGAACAATCAGAAGTTTGCATGTGTAAACTAGGGCAGAGGGTATCAAAAACAAGGGGAACAGTGACTAAAACTGGAGAACCTGGGATTGTGTGTAAGGCTCACTGAATCTTCCAGGTTTGATGTAGGAGGGGACGTTCAACTCTAATAAGATGGAATAAAAACAGATTTATCCTCCAGATCACTAGGCCTTGAGAAGCACGTGTTTTAAATATTGTGTAGCATGTTTATTGTATTAGCTTTATTTGTCACAGTATTATTTTAATAAGCTGTGTTTGACTATGCCCGGGAACCCAGTTACCATTTTTAATGCTTCTTTGATAAAGAGAGGTAAGTTCTAAACAGCTTATTAAAAACAAATTTGTGGAACATTACCCACTTCTAAGATGGTATCTCCCTTGGTCAGTGATTTCAGTGAGGTCTTATCTCATAACCAGCCACAATACCAATTTAGTTTTTTGGTGGTGGCTTTGGTTTTCTTCCTTCACCACAGTCTGAATTGAGATTGCAGACTCCTGGACTTGAACGACTAATGTGCTTATCTACTCTTCAACAGTAGCATAGATAGCAAAATATACTATTGCCAGTGGAATTCTAGGAGGGTAAACAATGAAGATTCTAACTGGTGCCAGGACAGTTTATGCTGTTAAAATCTTTGGGTTCAGAAGGCAGAATTTTCAGAAGTGTTGCATACTTCAGACAGTGCTTTTTGTGATCTGATGAGCCACAAAATGCTTGGTCAGTTTGTTTTATTTTCCCTCAGGTCACATGATAATGTCATCTGTGAATGATTTAACACTGTTAACATAAGTGTTATCCCTCATTGATTGAGCCACTTTTATTCTGAATCAGGTATATGTCAGCACACAGAGAAGAGTTGTGTAGTATGTTTTTTCTCATCCTGCATGCCTCTTTCTTCCATCTCATTATGAGGACATTATGCCTGTAACAAATCAAGGTGCTATAGTTTTATTTTCCCTCAGAATAAGAATGTATTAGAGTATATTATTTAACAACCATGTGGGTTTGGGCTTTTAGAAGATGGAAGGGAAGAAATACCTGGCTTTCAGAACCAGTTTTCAAATGAACTTTCTTAACTGGGTCATTTGGCATTCCCCTGCCCATAGTTCTGCTGCTCTTACCAGCTTGGGTAATTCACTGGCCCTTCAGCAAAATGTGTCCATGTCTACCTTTATGTGTCTCATTACACCATGGCCCTCGCCTTTACTGATTTTTGCCTCCATTTACCTCTCTCCAGATACCCTTCATCCCTGCCTCATAAAACCATTTCTCTGATCATGATTGCCTGAAATAGTTGGTTCCCTTGAATGAGTACATTGTCTTTATTTATTGTTGT